AAATCGCATCATATGACCCCTTTAACTAAGTAAAATTTTGTTTTTTGCGCGTAGTTGCCAGGATGTTCCTATGCAGTTTTTCAGTGTTTAGGGCGGTTGCTAGTAGGGGTGCGCCGATCCGATATTCATTATCGGTATCGCTCCGATACTGGCATTTTCTGCTGGATCGGGGTATCGGTCAGATGAGACTGATCCAAATCCGATATTCTGCTTATACTGTTCTGTGTTATTATTAAGCCCCACGAAAGGCACAAAAAAATTATAAAGCACCATAAAGTTTTCGTGCACTATATTTCAAGTTTTCTGAGACCGTTCCATAGTTCAGTGTGAAGTACAGATGAATATTTAAGTCGTTAAATACAAGTTCACTTAAACTGTTCTCTCCGCTGCGGCTGTCTGTCATCCTCCATTCAGCATTCAAACTGTGTATCGCGTTTAGCTATGACAGTCAAGACGATAAAACTCTCTTCAAGATTATTCAATGTTCCTATTATTATCCTTGATCTGTTGATAAAGATCAATGGTTTTGCATAAAAGGACTTTATCTTGCTGGAGTTTAGTGCTGTTTCCAAATCATGTTTTTTTCTACCGGGTGTCTGTTAGATCACAACACTGCAGTAGAGAGCACTATGAATTGTTCTTCATGTGCACAGTAACTGAAATTTAAAACTGTTAAAAGAAAAGGCTCAATAAACTATCGTACAGATATAATACACTACGCATCAATATCTCTTCCCTCTGTGCTTTGAACTTTTCTATGCGGAGCGCTGTGACTCCGTGTTGCTTCAAGCGCATCATTCTGCGCACAGGATCTGTTAAAAGAAAAGGCTCAATAAACTAACGCACATATTTAATACACTAGTGACTACGCATCAATATCTCTTCACTTTGTGCTTTGAACTTCTCTCAAAGAGTATAGAAGAGTCTTTTATACTCTTTCCTTCTCTATGCTGCGCGCTGTGACTCCGTGTTGCTTCAAGCACGTCATTCTGCGCACGGGATGCGCATAAGCGCTTTGAGCCACTCTGTATTTGTAGCCTTTAGTATCATAATACTTTTGGTTTTTATATATTGTTTTTCATCTCATTCTATTCTATCCCATTCTATCATCTATAGCACAACTGTACATACAATTTATTTATTTTTCGATTTATTTTTCAATATTTGTCTATTTATATTTACATATGTGTATTTTTTTTAATGCTCATCTTATTTTTTTATTGCCTGTGTGTTGTTGTTGTCTCTGTGTACTGGAAGCTTATGTCACTAAAACAAATTCCTTGTATGCGCAAGCATACTTGGCAATAAAGCTCTTTCTGATTCTGATTCTGATTAATGTATTTTACAACAATACAAAGAGCAATGTGTAGGCCTACCAGATTTAGCCCTACACTTACTCACTTTTATTTGTTACCCACTAAATAATGTTTTTTTTTTTCATTCAAAGTTTAGGATTTTATCAAATTATTGTGCACTCATGATTTTTCTAGAGTAACTTTTGCTACTGAATTATCCATTAACCTAATTTATAGTTGTATTTTTGTCATAGATTATGATTATATATTTAGTCATTTGTTGTTTTTCTTTACAATGAAGTTGTCTATAAATCGGTTCTGAAAAAGTGGTATCGAGCCATCCCTAGTTGCTAGGGGGTTGTTATGTGGTTGCCACAGGGTTTGAGAGTTTTAGCACATTACTATGTGGTTTATTATTATTATTAAATCATTTGTAATTCTTATTAAAAAGTATTACTATTTTTATCCTGAATGTTTTTAGCTCATTGCTTTGTAGTTGATAGGTTAATCTAGGCAGTTCATTGCATAAGCTATATGGTTGTTAGTTTGTTATGGGTGTTGCTAAATGGTTTAAGGTGATTGCTAAGGTGTTTTGGTGTTCTGGACGGTTACTAGGGCATTCTGAGTGGTTGCTAGGGCATCTCTAGGGTGTTTTTGGGTGGTTGCTAAGGTGTTTTGATGTTCTGAGTGGTTGCTAGGGCATCACTAGGGCTTTTGGGTGGTTGCTAAAGTGTTCTGATGTTCTGGGCAGTTGCTAGGGCGTCACTAGGTGGTCACTAGGGCATTTTGGGTGGTTGCTAAGGTGTTTTGGTGTTCTGGGCAGTTGCTAGGGCATTTTAGGTGGTCGCTAAGGCATTTTGGTGTTCTGGGTGGCTGCTAGGGCATCACTAGGTGGTCACTAGGGCGTTTTGTGTGGTTGCTAAGGTGTTTTGATGTGCTGGGCGGTTGCTAGGGCATCACTAGGTGGTCAGTGGGGCATTTTGTGTGGTTGCTGAGTTATTTCGATGTGCTGGGTGGTTGCTAGGACATTTTGGGAGGTCACTAAGGCATTTTGGTGTTCTGGGCGGTTGCAAGGGCATCACTAGGTGGTCACTAGCGTGTTTTGGGTGGTTTCCACATCAGCTGTTTTGATTTTTTTGGCACATTGTTATGTGGTTAGGGTTCTAGGCGATTGCTAGGGAATTTTGAGCAGTTGCTAAGGTGTTTTGATGTGCTGGGTGGTTGCTAGGGTGTCACTAGATGGTCACTAGCTTGTTTTGGGTGGTTGCTAAGGTGTTTTAGTCATCTGAGCCATTGCTAGGGCGTCACTAGGTGGTCATTAGTGTGTTTTGTGCGCTTGCTACACGGTTGCTCAGCTGTTTTGAGAGTTTTTGTCACATTGCTATGTGGTTAGGGTTGTTAGGCGGTTGCCGGGGTGTTCTGGGTCTTTGCTTAATAGTATATTATTACTATGATTTTCTAGCCTCAAATGCTCCAGAAAAATAAAAAACAAGTCAGAATTGTAAGATATATAAAAAAGTTGCAATTACTTTTTTATTTTTTATTCAGTGGCACAAACGGGCTTCCATAGCTGGATGAGTTATGCACTGAAGTTTAACTTATATTTCTGTATTTCTGTCATTCAGTCTCTGGTTTAATATACGGCGCTCCTTGTCCGTGGCCTGTCGGCTTTGATTTGGAGGAGGTGCTGTGATTTCCTGTTGTCGAGGGCAGAGTCACGTACAGGATGCAGAACGCTGTCGTGATCTGATCAGCTTTGATTCTTCTTATCAGATTACAGATTTTGAAGCTGCTCCACACAAAACATTTCAGCGTCAACTTATTAGATGTGTAAGATTGTGTCTCTCTCTCTCTCGTTATCTTCACACGCTCGTCTTCCTCCTCACATCAGACACTAAACAAATGCAAATGTGCGTGTTTGGGCTTTTCTGTGCATCACAGCACACGCTTCGTATTCATGAAAGACACAATGAATTTGTGCCTCTGTGCTCCAGGAGAAATGCATCTAACAAATTCAGAAACGTCCATCTTTAAACGTGAACCATAATGAAGAGAAAATGCAATGAAGTTTAGATGGAAATTAAAAAGCGAATAGTGAATGCAGAGATGGAGTGATGGAACAAAGCAGGGTTAAACAGATGCTACAGACCTCGCCTGACCTCAGATTGCTCAGTGGTTGCTCTTTTTGACTTTCAATTACGTTTTATTGAAGTATAAACTTTGTTCCTCTTTATATTCCTATGGACATTGTTACATGTGTGCAGCTTGTGATACAGAGTTTTCAGTGACTCAGAGCATTTAGGTTCACAGTAAATGCTGTTCCACATTAACTTCATCTCTGCATGCATTCTGACTTTGGGTCACTTATATCATGCGTTTACAAATGCAACATGTGCCAACCATCTTCTCAGACTTGTAATGAGAAGCACTTATAAACTGGCTGTTGTCAACAAAAGAGAAGCTTTAAGGGGTCCCTGTGATTTTCCACCAAAATAATGATGGTTTAACTTTCGAAAATGAAGAAATGAAGACAACCATAAATATTAATATTGTAATTTTGCATTTGTACTGTGGAATAATATATTATTTTTTCTAAATACTCTTTTTTATTTTACAGTAAAATACATCAATTGTAATCTTTTTAAATATTTTTCATAATAATAATAATAATAATAATAAAATTTAAGGTTATATGATAGGTATACGATTTAAGGGATTCGTGCAGTTTTCTACCAAAATATTGATGGCATTAGTATTAGTATTTGTATTTGTATTTTGTCACATTGATATATAGTCATATTTTTGGCCATACTGTACAAATATATATATATAT